AAAATACATGTATTTAAAATATTTATTTTAAATATATGTATTTAAAATATACATTTTAAATACAAATATATGTTTTCAAATACAATCTAAAAATATTTTAATAAATTTATAGAATGAATCACAATAATTTAGATTGTATTACATGAATCTCTAATAAAAAAAATATGGATCAAATAATTAACAAATACCTGGCAAGCAGAAATTTTTTGATTTGGTGTTGCCTTCCTCTTTCTGTGGTTCCTTGATTTTTGTTATCCTTCTTAGATCTCTATTTTCTTGTTAAATACAAAGAATCACCTTCCTCTGCTCCGGGATGGACGATGGGTGAGTAGCAAGCAACATACATCTGTAGTGGTATCTCGTAGTAGATGGCAGCTGCAAAGGAGGAGGGGGATTTGGGGAAGCAAGGATGTTAATTGACATATTCCTCCAAATCTGTTGCCTGTATTGGTTGAGCTTTTGTGGGATATCCATGGCCATCAAAGTTGAGAGAGAATGATAACTCCCTTTTTAGGAAGAGGAGATTATATATTGTGTTTATATTTCTTGGAATTTGGCTTCATTTTGGTATATATGCTTTTTCCATTTCTGGGATTGGTCGTTTGCTTTCTCCCCCATACCAAGTGGCCTGAAATTAAGATTAGTACTTAGGACAGGAAAGGCATGTCTCTCTAGCTCCTTTTTACTTTCTAATATAAAATCAATGGAAGCGGAAAGGAGAGTAAAACTTCCTAAAAGAGTTTCCTTTCTAATATATTTCATCCAAGAAGAAATGACTCATCATTTTTTGTCTTTTTTTCTGTTCTCTTTTCTTTCTTAGATGGGTTTTCCTTGAAAGCATAACTTTGTGTATTTCCTCGAAGTGAGGAAACTATTCCTCCTCTGCGAAGTATTTTAGAAGCTCATTTGAGTCATTTGCTTGCTTCCCCCACAATCGGATTGTAGATCAAAACGAAGCCTTTTGCTAGATTGGCAATTTGGCAGCTAACCCAACAAAGAATGGGCTAGGCTAGCTTAATACGGTTAATGCAAAATGGGCTTGATTTGCAGTTAAGCCCATCCATTTTGTTTGCTTTTCCAGCCTTGCCCATGCATTAATTATGTCTCATTTTGATATGGTTTATGGCAAAGCCTCCACTTTTGCATGGCGGAACCAGATTTGATTAACGGGTAGAATCTATTATATTTTTGTGTCAACAAAGATTCAAAATTAAAAAGTCATAATATTATCCTTTTTCAATGGGTAGGACTTTACAACTATAAACCTTTAAAATTATAAAAGTTTTTTGAGAGCATGGTACAGTTTATGCCTAATCCTTCCCCAACACAGATCCGCCTTGCACTACGTATGGTATGTGCTTCGAGTTGCATGTTATCATTTGAGAATAAAGTTAGCTTAGCCGGAAAAAAAGTTAGCTTAGTTAAAAAGTTTTGAGAACAAAGTTCCAAATGTAAGTACATTTTACAATATATATCATAAAGTTGCTTTCATGTTAAGCTGTGCTTTAAATGCCGAACCACAACGTTTTATTAAATGAGCTCCGCCTAGAAATTAGTATTAAAAGTTGATACTTAGTTTTTTCATGTATAAAATTTTTTGCTAAAACTTTATGTAAAAGTTAAATAACTAAATTAAATTAAAATAAATATTAACTATGGTACAATTCTCATATGCTTCTATATATTTTTTTCGATTCATTATGCTTCAACATATTCTTTTC